GCTATATTTTTTTTAACTTTGATAGCTGAAGCAAGCAAAAATCTGTCTAGTTCTTGATGGTTTTCCTCAGACCATCCAAACTGAGTTTTCATTTCAAAGAGATCTTTTGTGGGAAAGTTTTCTGAGCCACTTATTTACCTCGTTGAGTAGTGTACTGAGATCAGTAGTTCCTTTGACTATCTGGCCTTTTGATATACTCCCACTGGGGAAGGAATAGTGTCTTTGTATACAGTGTCTAGTGTATGGTAGCTAGTATAATGAAGTCCCAGTCTTGATTGGAACATTTGGACTCTACCATGATATAAATATTCATTAAAGATAATTATAAAAGGTCCTCTGAGGAAAAGCTCTGATGCTTCAATTTGTATTTGTACTACTGTGATTATCTAAGTCAGGAGAAAATTGTGGAGAAAAAAATTGACAGCTGCCTTTCAGCTACACTCCCTCTTAGTCTTTTTCTCCTTCAGGACCTCAGTATTTCTTCCTTGTTCTTTGGTTTATTTTCTTTCACATTTTTTTTCCTGTTGTCTGTAGTTGGCACTGATCTGTTTACAAGTGCCACATAATTTTTTTTACTCAAGTTACACTTTTCTTTATTTAAGGTTCTTTTAACAATAAACTCCCTTTGGTTGGAAATCCTTAGGAGGGCCCCTTATTTCAATCACCTTTGAGCTTGGAGGCTAGTTTTGATTTTCATAGCCAAAATTTGACCTTACCTAATGCATGCAGCTGCAAGGATCTAATTTGCAATTCAGTACCTTTCTGCTGGAATAGCACAAAGTTCAGCTACCCTCTCCTTCCAATATTTTTCAATCTATAATGTGTTTCACATAAACCAGTGATATGGGATGAATGCACTTCAGGAAATGGACTCTGCCTGCTGATGCCACATACAGCCGAAGGGGCCATCAAACACGTATTCAGAGTATCCTGGTAGTATTCCAGTGTATCTTTGCCGTATTCTACCTCTGTGAACCTTAAAGTTGCATTAACACAATCATGTTAGCTTCTACTAGCTTCCAACATGGACATCTTCATTAGTTGGTTAACAAACCAGTAGGTCAGAAAAAATAGTCCATGAAGACACTGTTAATTGCATAAAAACACTACAATAGATTCATGTGTACCAGAAAAGAAAGATTCCACGTGGAAAATATAATCTCCAGAACACGAGACGCTGAACCCCAAGTTAAAAACTTAAGTTTAAATTCCTTAAGCTTAGCAGAATACTGTTTTGTAATTGGAGGGGAAAAAATGGCAATATTCTTTAAGGTGTTCTTTGTCACCATTAGGCAGCTTTCACACTTCAGACTAAGCAAGCTGGTGAAAACCACCATTTTTCAAGAGGCCTATGACTTCTCCCCCAACTTTTTTTTACCACTTTTCTCACGCATCTCTCAAATTATTTCTTTTTCGTGAACCTTTCATGAAAAGATACCTCTTGCTGAGCTGACTCATACCATAATCAACTGTACCACAAAACCCCAAAGACAGAAAAATAAGTTAGCCCCTTAGCTTCTCCAATACTCAGTTCTTGGAGCAGGCTCATACTTCTGAGTTTATGCTGTTGCAAAAACTTCTGTCCACTGGGAAGCCTAGAAAAAGCTTGCAGCTCTTAATCTGTGCTCAGACTCATTTAATTTGGTTACAGATTGTTAGTATGTCTTGAAAAATAACAATGTTTGAGAGGGTACTCATCTAACAGCCAGCATAGACTCCACATTGAATGTGTTTACATAAAAGAGTGATATCAGCTATCAGCTGTTCCTTTTCTGTCACCCTTTTTTTTTCTCTTCTTTTTTTAATGGAACTGATGTTTCTCTCATGCACTCTAAATACTTTTCCTTTTCTAGTCTGTAAAGGTCTAATGTAAGTCTGTTCTTATGCATATGAATAACAGTTATGGGACTATTGGATACAATTTTAAAAAAACACCTAATTTGACTGTGCCCTCTAGGATCCAGTTTCTCAAAGGGCTTCTTACTCTAATGAAAACTACTTTTATTGCTCAGAACATCATATACAATTGGATCCTATTTCATCTCAGATAGCCAAAAAGAGTGATAGAAGGCAAAAATGCATTTTATTTGTAGAGATTAGGAATTAAGCAAAGGTTTTGCAATTTAAACTTCACATGCCTGCATGGGATGTTTAATGCAGTTGCCTAATTAGCTCTCCAGTAAAAGTCTTGGCATCTACATATGTGGTCCTATTAGGCCTCAGGAAACTGATAAACTCCATAGTGGGTTGGTAATTGTTAATAGTAACCTGATGACCCATGTGCAGCAATGCATGTGTAGATGCTGCAGCGATACATATGTAGACACTGACCCAGCTGGCTGGGTCACAAGGGTACTTCAGTGTTGGAGCTGCCTGCCAGCTAGCCCCACAATTGAGCACCCTCATGTCCCTGCCAGTCCCTCCACTGCACGCTGAGCTGGGCAGAAGTAGCCCCAGGCTGGCAGACATCTCCCCAGGGCCCTCTGCTAGCCGGGGCTGCTCCAACATGCTGCAGTCCCAGGCACACATTCAAACAGCACAGCCAGGAGCAAAAAACTCTGGCATGCCAGAATTTATTGCTCTGCATTAATTGTATGTGTAGATGCGCCCACTGGAGTGAAGAAAGGTAGACATCTGCATAAAGGTGATTGGATTTATTAAAGGTACAAAGCACAAACAACTTTCACTGATGGGAGCTTCTCAAGATGATGCAGGTTAGAAGGAAGCAAAAGAAATTTCTGGGTAGATTTCTGGAAAAAATTCTGATGTGGAGATCTGTTAATCTACAAAACCTCCCTTTCAGCTGCTATGGTTGATGACCAGTAACCTGGGGCATTTTTACAAGTACTCTGTGGGGGGCGGTGGAGGGGAAGGAGGTGCTTGAATTAGAGCAACTCCAAGGACTGCTCTAATGAAAGCACCGGTGTCTCATGTATCAGCATCCTCGTGCTTCAAAATGGCAGTGGGAGCACTTTAAGTAAAGATTATCGAATAAGCTTTAGTTAAAGAGCCCCCACCACCAAAGCACCCCCCACACAAGATACAGAGGCCGGTTGGTGCATGCTAATTAGCTGGAGCATGCTAACTCCATGGTCCAAGAGACTCAAGCTAATTAGCAGGCTCCAGGAGACTCAATTAATCAAGCCTGCTCTGGCTCACTTTAATTACAGCACATCAGAGAAGCTTCCTGACATGTCTCCAGGCACCCTTGAGGACTTTAAAATAAGACTCAATGATCTCAGTAAGAGGAGACTCTGTACCCTGGGGGAGAGACTGACAAGAGGAATTAATAAAGTTATCATTCACCCCTCCCCTTTTTTATTTTCTTAAGGAAGTATGTGAGGAGACTGAGCTGAAGGGGCTATTCTCCTCTTCAGTTACTGGGAACAAAGACTGCACAGGGAACCCTGTATTTCCTTGCAGATTGTTGGAAGGAACTCAGATTTTTGTCTTTCATTGTGAAAATTTGATTTAAAAGGCCCACCCCCAGTTAGGTGGGAGCCTACTTGGTTGTATCCCAGAGAAAACAAAGTGCGTGAGGTTTACCTTTACTAATCACCGTGTACATAAGACAGATACAGTTTAACTGGAACATCATGAAGGCAAGACCAGATGCTGAAAACTGTCCATCTCCGATTCGATGAACCAACCCAGTAGTCTTGGTGTAGGTTCCATGTTCAGGTTAAGCAAGACAGACCTCATAATTTATATTACTCAACATAAAATAAAGACAGCAGGCATGCTTTCATCTGGAAAGAGACACCAGAGGCATTGTTCTATAAACAGGAGCTGTATATGGAGGAAGTGTACAAAAACAAAAAGCAACCGATCTAGCGTTTTACATTCTGATCTTTCCACCATTGTACTGCCTGTATGGAAAGAAAGGTAGTTTGTAGCTGAATCACAAATTTCACCTAGGCATGTCAGCTCCTTGTGGACTTCGTATTTTTGAAAGTTTGCAAACCCTGCTCAAGCATTTTTATGGTCTGCTGGGTTTCTGGGTTAGCGAGCAGAAATCTCTCACCTTATTTTTTAAAGGAACAGCCTATTACCTCTTAATATATTAGCATAGTTATGAAAGTGTTCATGATGTTAAGGCAGATTTGCAGATGGGGTTCAGCACGTACTTCAGTGAAGATACATTTACTTTCCCTCTCTGAAGATCTGGTTTATGTTTTATTTACAATTGCCCTATTCATTCTTTAGCTCTCTGGTTGCAGGCCAATATTTATGACATTGGTACCAAGTGCTAGTTACAGCTTCTGTCACTCTCTAAATCATGTAGCACTGAAAAACTAAATGTTATGAATTGTATATTTTTAAGTAACAAAGCCCTCAAATCATATTTGAGGTTTATATTTTTTAAATCTAATATTTATTAATGATCCTTCATTCTAATGAGTCAGTCCTACCTCACTGGGGTTTCATCTAAGCCCTTACAGTAGAATCAGACTATAACTAGTTTAGTCTTTTTTTTCATTGTTTTTCTACTTTATGATCTTTATTCTATTCTTTTTTATCTTATTACACTTACCTTTCCTTCCCACCTTCACCTCTTTTTCACTACAAGAACTGAAATACTTATCATATTCCAATGGATAAAATAGATATACAACCACAGCAGTTTTTCTGCCTTGCTTTATGGGAAGCCATGTGTGTTTTGTCATATCCCAATTTTCTTCTTTTTCTCGGTATCTTACTAAGACACTGATACCCCTATGAGAGCGAACAGAATGTACTGCAGCCAAATTATAAGACCTGGGAAAATCATGACAGATATTGACTGCAATCAGAGACAGACCTTGGACCACATATGAAGATGAGGCATAAACATGAATTAAGTATTCTATATTAAGTTCCATAGAAATTCTTTGACTCGCTTGTATGCCATGCCAGCCAATAAAAACAGACTTATCTTACTTATGAATACTTAAGGGGGAAGAAGAAACCTATGTATACTGTTCAATATGGAAAAATAGAATAAATGAAGTTCAGATTACCTCTGCCTGAGCAGATTGTTCATTTTCAATGTGGTCAAATAGGTTATCTGACTCTCCAAGTATTATGCCATATAAATCGGAGTCATAAGTTAGTGTGTCAATGGTAGGAGCAGCCACAATGCCCTCAAAGATGAAAAATCCCAGAAAAATATTTGCAAGAGTCTTCATTCTTCCTTTTCTAAAGGAGAAAAAAGCCCAAAATATTTGTATAAATAGGACTGTAAATCACCTGTGAAAATTCATTCAAGCATGAAAAGCAAATAAAATAGCAAGAAAGAAGCTGAAGGCTGAAGAACTTCTTAATATTCCAGCGGCATTCCTGTAAAGTGTATTTATAGGTCAGTGATTAAACTCTAATACACCATTCAGTTTCTGTTCAGTCAGAATTATTGCTCATATATCCTGCAGACTTCATTAAAGCTATGCTGATTATCTGAAAGAGGAATGGGTTTTGATTCCCTTTCAACTTCCTCCATAAACAGCTGAGAAGTTAACCAAAAGCCACATACTACTTTATGGGTGTGTAGTGTGTGTGTGTATGCGCGCGCGCGCGCGCGCACGCACGCACGCACGCACGCACACACACACACACACACACACAACGGGAAAAATGGTTGGCATCTTAAAATGTTCAGTAACAGAATACCATCCTTTTGTCCATAGCACCAGTCAACCTAACTAAATCCAACAAGAAGTAGAGCCATTTTTTCCCGACGCTATTCTTGAAGTAGTTTAATTCAAGTACTTCACTGTTTACTAGTGTCTTAGACTATGTATGGGGAGTAGCTGGAATGAAGGAAGAAATCTGTGTTCTTACCACTATCCAAAAGTGACAGAATTCTCCTTTCCTTTCCTTTTTTTCTTTCTTCCTTGTCCTCCAATTGCTCTTTCTCTAGCCATCTCTAATGAGAAGTGCTAGTATGGCATATTCACTTGTGCACCCAACTTCACATATTTAAATGTTCCCTAACTTAATACAGTTCTATAGAAGGCATACTCAGTTTGAATATTAGCATTCATTCTCTTACGCTTTTGTGCTTGGCTTAATGTCATCTAAAATATCTGTACATGTAGTGCTACTCAGCATTCTTTTTTCATATATTTTTACCTAAACCTCACTTTGATCCAACAGAAGCCATGACAGTAATAGTGACTAAGTCTAATAAACCATATCTTGATGTGTGACAATAGTACATTGAAGACTGTACATGTTGTATTATTTTCTTTATAAGCTTATAGTTTTTACAGTGTATGAAATTAAGAAAAATCATTACATGGTTTTCTTTCAAAGTTTCATACACTGAGTAACCAACTGAATTTCAGTTACTTGAAAGAAGGTCTTTATAAAGCTGCTTTAGGCATGAGGATATGAAATTCCACTGGGGATGGTGAACAGCACAAGGCACTCTTTTTCCCTCCGCTGCTTTTTTCAAACTAACTTTTTTAGCGGCTGCTGGGAGAACCTAGCGTCCAATTTGCTTGTTGTTGGGCAAGGCTTGCTTGTACAGCAGCTTCTTAGTGCAGGCTTCCAAGATTATTAAAGATCCTGCTTTTCATATGAGAAGTCTTTCCTAGATCTCTCCAATCTACTGCACTATGTAAAAGTGATAACACTATGTAGAAGTGATAGAATAGTTATATTAGCTTGTTTTTGCATGTTCATTCGCTTGCTGTCTCTCTGTCTCTCTCTCTCCTGTTCCCTACATCTGCCAGTGTTGTTATTTGGCCTCACTTTGTAATTGGCACATTTCTGGAATTTTTCCCAAATGATCTAACAATAAGTTCTGTTGTATACTAACTCTAAATTTAGAACTGCTATATCAGACAAATTTCTTTTTATCCTGTGAAAACTTGTCTGAGCAACTCCTATTTTTAAATATGCTATGTAATTAACCTTTTAAAAATGGTTTACACTTAGTTTGCTTAGTACACTTTCAAAATATTTATTTTCCTAAATATAAAAGATTTTAACATACTTTATCTTATGTACAAAGGCAATATTGGCAACTAAATGTAAGTTAAGTAGTAATATTATAATATCTGTGAAAAAAATAACCTTCTAACTATGCTTATAGCACTCTGCCTACTTTGTGTGCCTCTGTACATTTATTATGTAATATATTGGAACACACTGTAATTTTATTGGCATCTACTGTAGCTGTAAAAAATTAAATATTTTGGTGAAGGTTATGTACTCCTCTCACAGGAAGGAACTAAGAACTATCCATGGAAAATAAAGTAAATAGTATCACTAATCTACATAGTATTTTAAAGGACAGGTTAAACAAATATCATAAAAAAAATCTTTCCAACTTTAAGAACCCAATTCTTCAATCAAAGAAAAGAAGCACTAAAACTTACCTTTTGGCTTCTACTTTCTCAAATGGCACAGAGTTGCTCAGAATGCAGAGCCAGTGGTATTTGACCCTGACCAATGGCAGTGGGATTTGGGGGCTGTGGGAGGGTGATATAATTCAAGTGGAGACCTCATCCTGAGAAGTTTCTTGGCCTTTAAACTCCTTGATAGTAGTTATGCTGAAATAGATCTAAGGGAAGTCCAGGGAAACAAATACTGTAAACCAATGTAATTTTTCAGAAGTTCTAGAGTTTGTTACAAAAAAAATAAAAATATATGCTATTGGACGTTACTGTGCCTATCAGTATTCCTCATAAATATCAGGAACAAAGAGGAACAGTTTTACTTTTGGGGCCTATTCATTATAAATTCTACAAAATAAGACCATGCAATATATTTACATTATATGCATTACTGCTATTCAAGGATATACTTGAATGCACACAAAAACATGGAGTTAGAAACTTAAAAGATGTTTAGATATTTAAAACTGATTTTCTTTATCATAAAAATATTCAAATATAGACATAAAGTAAAAGCTATCTAATGTTAAGATAAACATGACAGTAAAAGGAACCTTGTCAAGCTGTAACGAGGAACGTATGCCATGCATCAAGATCTTCATATTTTTAAATAGATTATATAGGCTCCTTTTAACTTTGTCTAAATCCTGATCAGTTATACCAATTTGCAATAGTTCAATGGAAATAAGTTGAGTTACTCTGGATTTATAATGATTAAATGGAGAGCTGTCAATAACCTGCCACGATCGTGTATTTTGCCTTTGCAGTTTAAAACATTTAACTATGCCTTTATCCTAAGCCAGGCTTCTGTAAGCAAGAATTGAATTCCCTTATATAAGTGCAAATCCTTAGCAAACTAGATAACATATAGATGTTTCTCCTTGTGTGTAATATTTCCCTTCTGAGTCGTCATACCTGATAGTGTTTATTGAATCTAAGACTACCACAGGTATAGTCTCCTGTGTATTAAGATGTACTTAATATTTAATTTTGACATTTCACTGAGCATACAGGGAAAACTACTCTTTTCAGTATTCTTGCAGGTTTCCCCATGCCCCCCTGTACCCAGTCAGGGCAGTGAGGAGAGCAGTGTGATCATTGACATCACCTGTCACAAGCTTAGTGTCCCCTGTCTGCTCCTTACTGGGTACTGGGAGCTTTTCCTTTAAGGGAAATCCCTCTTTACTCACCCACTGTGACTTGATGTGAACAGAACACTAGGGAGGGAGGCTCCAATGATAGATGGTATCTTTTCCTCAGGGAGGCTCTTAAGCATGTTTTATGGAGCTCCTCCACCCCATCCACACACCAACTGGATATTCAAGGTGGTGCGTGATGATGCTAGTTGGGGCAAACATTGTCTGGTGGCCCATATAATGGGGCAAGATTATCTGGGCAGGGCATCACCGAACATGGCTTCTGCTATCCCAAATCACTCATATACTTAATTTAACACTTGTGTATTTATCTTCAGTTTTTTACACAAAACAGTCCTAGGCTTAGTCCCTCAGTCATGGAACTGACAATGTAATTCCAAAAGAAACACTCAAATGGTGGCAGTTGAGCCTGAGTCTACCACTGCCACCTCCAATCCCAGGTAATCACCCTGGATGGGCAATGTCCATCCCAATAACTTGTCTTTGGGATTATTATCAGTATCCCCACAGTTCACTTTTTAGATCAATTTGTAGACAATAGAAGTCAAAGTTTACTCAGCTCCTTAGCCAGGGCGGGGCTAGGCAGATGCCCATAAAGAAAAACTCAAAGACAGTGTAGCCCTTCCAGTACGCTCTGTCAGGTGCTAGGCAGGGTGTCACACTCATGCATTCCTTTTGCTCCCTCCATCTGGGTGCAGGACCACAGAGTCATCCAGGTTTTCTGTGGCTGAGACATTCATGGATGAGAACCCCTCTGGGTTCTTTGTTTCTGGGCTCCCACATCTTCTCTCCGCATCCTGGGTTATCTGGTTCATCGGAGCTGGAGAGCTGTCTCGGCTGCTTCCATCCAAATCTCCTGCCCAGACCCTCTGACACCCTGGGCATGCTTTTATTGTGTCACTTCCTGCACACCTGCCTACAAACAGAGAGAACATACTTGTAAAATGTAGTGGCAGCAGCGCATGCTGCTCCATTGCCATAGATCCGGTGCCTGCAGGTAAATCATGCCCATCACTAGCCTTTACCAGGCTAGTCTCTCCTATGGGCTGAAGCCACTTGGAGTGGGCTTCACCCATCCCAGGGGGCACTCAACCCCCTTCCTGTGGTGTGCGGCCACACTCCCCCGCAATTGTTTGCCTCCTCAAGGGGCCCCGGTGGGCATTCTGCTTGCTGCTGACCAGCTGGTAGGCAAAAAAGGTGCCATATTTAAAACCATGGTTTTCATTTCCCTGCTGGTCAGGAGCGAGTGGCAGGAGGGGGATGTGGGGGAAGCTGCAAGATTAAAGGAGCTGCCACGCAGCCCACTTCTGCCGTGAATTTGGTAGGTCTCTACAGGTGACATAAATGGCCTACTAGGTGTGCATGTGCCACTCAGGACAATTTTTGTTTATGTGAGGTAGTGATATATTCTGCCAGTTGGAGCTGAGTGGGTCATTGGACCACAGCTGTTATGCTCCAAGATTGACTCCAGGTGACATCAACATCACCCTAAAGTTGTACAGTTCTGTTCTGGTTCATCTCAAATTCTGTCCTGCCTACAGACTATTTGCACTTGAGAAGTCATCCCTGCAGATCACTGAAATGTTTAGTGAGTAGCTGTAGCACAAGATGGCATGCACATAGGAAGACATCTA